CAATACACTTGCTTCATTGCGACCATCTTGCTATGTCAACAATTTTGCATTGCTATTTTTTGGAACCCATGAGCAATTATTTTCGAGCATGTTATTAAACTGATAGAGTTATTTTGAGCCCCTCTTCAAACATTGTAGAAGGGTCAACATTTTTTTGATGTTTCATATGTCACTTGTAGTCAATCCCTTATTGGCCTCATTTTTTGCATGAGTTGATAGCCCTCTCTTTGCTTCTGTTTTTGGACCTGGGTCCGAACTGAAAGTGGCCTTTTTCTGGCCTATACTTCATGTTTCATTCACACTTTTTTTCTGTTTGATGATTATTTTGTATACTTCATGTTTTAGCACCTTTTGAGCCTTGTTTTGCGTCACATTTTTAGCATAATTGTATACTGATTTTGAGGTTTCCATATACTGTAAATGTTCATATTTTTGGTCCATCTTCAGTGTTGTAGAAGGAAATTTTTCATTTTGGGTTTTTCTTGTATTACTTGCTTCATTACCCCTCTTTTGGCCCCTATTCTCGCATGCTATTTTTCCCTTACCTATGCTTGCTGTTTGGCCATGTTTATAACAGTGAAAGTGCATCTTTTGGGACTGTCTAGCTTCTGTCTTTGCATTGCATGTCCATATTGTGCATGTTCGGCATGGCTATAGGCCATTTTGGGTGTCTAATGTTGCATTTCGGGACATTTCCTTGCATTTCATGTCATTTCGCTTCATTTCGGGACTGTTTTCCCCCATATTTTGTTGCTGAAATTCCATTAGTATGCTTGCATATCATTTCTGCCATATTTCATATCATTTTATCATTGCCTCGGTTTGCGTGCCCGTGTGCACGCATTTCGAGGCACTCCTTTTTATCATTTCGAGGCACTCCGTTTTCATTCACCGGCATCCCATGTGAGTGTAGCTGAGGCTCATTCATGTTGGTGTAAGTCCATATCATGTTTCCATGCCATTTCATATCATTTTATCATTGCCTCGGTTTGCGTGCCCGTGTGCACGCATTTTGAGGCACTCCGTTTTCATTCACCGGCATCCCATGTGAGTGTGGCTGAGGCTCACTCACGTTGGTATAAGTCCATTTGTCATTTCCATGTCATTCCATCGCATTTTGCCATTGCCTCGGTTTGCGTGCCCGTGTGCACGCATTTCGAGGCACCTCTTTTTTATCGGCCGGCATCCGATGTGAGTGTGGCTGAGGCTCACACACGTTAGTATAAGCCCATTTGTCACTTCATATCATTTTATCATCGCCTCGTTTTGCGTGCCCGCGTGCACGTATTTCGAGACACATGTCATCGCCTCGTTTTGCGTGTCCGCGCGCACGTATTTCGAGACACATGTCATCGCCTCGGTTTGTGTGCCCGCGCGCACGTATTTCGAGAAACATATCATCGCCTCGGTTTGTGTGCCCGCGCGCACGTATTTCGAGACACATATCATCGCCTCGGTTTGCGTACCCGCGTGCACGTATTTCGAGACACATATCATCGCCTCGGTTTGCGTGCCCGCGTGCACGTATTTCGAGACACATATCATCGCCTCGGTTTGTGTGCCCGCGTGCACGTATTTCGAGACACATATCATCGCCTCGGTTTGCATGCTCGTGTGCACGCATTTCGAGGCACCTCATTTTCATAGCATTCCGTATGTTAGGATTATATCTTAGTTGCATATTGCATCATGTCCAGAATAGGAGTTAGCCCGGGCACGAGAAACGAGGTACATTTCGTACTCCGAGTAACGGAATGTGTCTCAATTCCCCAGTCACCGACACTCCGGATTATCCATGATGGAGTTAGGTTTTAGTTGTAGTTTCATGTGCATTCATCCTATATTGAGTTGTGCATTTCGACTCCTCGGCCATCATGCCTCGGTATGCGTGATTGGTGGCACGAGGATCGAGACATGCATATATCTGTGCAGATACATTGCTATGCCCCTTTCCTGCTCTCTGTTGCAGCAAAACCAGGAATCAGCAACTTTCCGGGACTTGGCAGCACGCATTTCAAGAACAGGTGTAAACAGAGGCTAATTGGGGCATTCCGGTGGATTTCCGCGCAAGACAATCCGGACATGCATCATCCATCAGAAGCAAGGCGGTCCCTGGCTTGCACGCCAGTTTTATTTGCTTTCATAGTTAATTTATTAATTAGAGTTTTGTAATACTTTGGACTGTAATATTCTTTTATTCGGGACTATAACATTTGGACTGTATATTTATTCGGACCCTCCGAGTGAGGGCACAACTGTAATAAGTGTGCGTGTGCCGTGTATTTATTCGGACCCTCTGCACGAGGGCACAACTGTAATAAGTGTGCGTGAGTGTGATGTATGTCTTCCAACCCCACGTCTTTCTTCCCTTTTATTTATCCGCTTATGATGGTTAGATTAGGGCATATTTAAATTTGCATACGGTATGACAGCATGTTTGCATCATTCATCTGTTTTGCATGCACCGGGCTCGGCGCATCATACTAACTGCATTGTATTTTTAATTCCAAGTTGAATACATGGTAGTTGTAGCATTTCATATACCATCTTAGAATAGCCGAGCCTGCTATAGTTGCATCCCGCATGTGTTGCATTAGGCATTTCTGTATACTTAGGATTCATGCATGATTTCTAATAAAGTTTCTATTTTGGCTTGGAGTACTTGGTGAGTTTTTATGCTTTAGCATCCTTGCATGCGTGTGAGTGACTGCCATGAATAGCATGCTTACCATGAAACTATGTGCTTACATGATTTAACTGCCTGAATGCCTGTGGGTGGGAGGTTGAGGTTATTTGGATGGTAACAAATCATCGACTGAGTGAGTTTAAGCCCACTAGATAGTGGCAAAACCATCATTTCTAAGCCCACCCTGAGGGTGGCAAAATCTGCATTTTAAGCCTACTTGCGAGTAGCAAACCATCTTTCAAAAAAAACAAACATGAATGTTTCGTTCCAATTCAGGCACCCGGGTCTATACTTGTATGCTGTGCGCATCACATAGTTAACCTAGGCTAATAACCGGTATAAGAACTCACATGTTTTCAAAAATTGATATCATGGTTAGTAGAGGCCGGTCTTATGACCGGGCGAGCGGGGGTGCTCACGAAGTGACCTTCCCCAATCGTACCCAATTTCCCGAGACCGAGGCAACTTTGGTTATATTAGATATCCGCAAGTTTGGCACCGAGTCAGGGTTTCCTAAATTTCCCAAATAAAATATTTAGGTGGCGACTCTGTATCTGGCAAAGCAGTCCATGTTTGGCACTTCTTTCAAAAAATCAGTTTTTTTTCTCAAAACGATTTGCCAAATTTGGACTCTTTGGTTCAGACTTAGAACCGTGACTGACGAAAAGCCGAGTCCGAGCTGTAGCGAGGTCCCCCGCGGCCCTGTTACACATGCTTAGTACAGGCCGATCTTCGGATCGGGCGAGCGGGGGTGCTCATAGCTGACCTTCCCCAATTGTACCCAAGTTCCCGAGCCGAGGCAACTTTGGTGATGACAGGCACGTGGCCTTAGGCACGAGTCAGGGTTTCCTAAATTCCCCCAAAACAAAATATTTAGGTGGCTACTCTGTATCTGGAAAAGCAGTCCATGTTTGGCACTTCTTTCTTAAAAATCAATTTTCCAAAACGATTTGCCGGATTTGGACTCTTTGGTGATTTATCAATCTCACATCGCACATTGTGGGATCAGATTAAGAACCGTGACAATTTGAGTCCGAATTGTGGTAGCAAGGCCCTCGGGGTGCATCCACAAACGCGTTGCCACTTAGATCCGCCAACTTTGGCGCATGGGTCCTACCTAAAAAATAGACCAAAGTTTTAAGAAAAATCTAATTTTCCAAAACCGTTTCTAACAGAATGCTCGTTACTAAAGTATAGTTTTACTTGGTTTTGTAAGCTAAGTCTCCTAATAAGAGACTTAATGTGTCCCACATATATATTAATTTTGTATATTATATATATTATATATTATTTATATGTTTATCCTTCCATGTATATTTATCTTTTATTTTGATAATTATGGGTGATAATTATTAAGGTTGCCTAAAATATCAAGAACTCTAATGGTGGTTTGGCTAAGGCCTATCAATTTCCACTAATTAAGTTTCCTTGATGGAAGGAAACTAACAAGGTTTATCTAATAAGGTATCTAGCTGATAAGGGTCCCTGACCTAACAGTTATAAATAGGCCTGTGGTTTTCCTCAATAGGGCACTCAAGTTCTGCATAGGTTAGAAGACATTTATTCCTAAAGTATGAGGTGAGTGATATAATATTGATAGATTCAGAAGAAATACACACATCACACAACTTGATCAACAATGGCTGAAGGAGGTTAGTATAATTTTATTCCGCTGTATATCCATACACATATGATTATATTATATATGTGTATGATTTTCCTACATTGTGGTATCAGAGCTTATCTTCAAATCCATGTTGCTCAGTATATAGATTCACTTTGTTAACGTTCTTATAATTTTTTCATCAATCCCCGCTTTGCAATTGTATAATTGTTTGTCCTTCATCATGACTAGGATAATCTGGAATTTGGATTTATATCAATTTGTTTTATATCTAATGTGTTAATAGTTTCCAAATTACTGCTTGCACAGTTTACATGCAAGGAATTGCTGGTTGCCTAGTTATATATATGCATAGAATTTCTAGCCTAATAAATAGTGCTCCGAACTAATCTGGATATTGCAGTGTTCATAATGAGTTTTGATCATCATCAAGCATCATACTATATTTATATTTTTTTTATATACAGAAAACACATATAATATTATTTGTGCATTTACATGATGATTGATATCTTATATTATAAACCTTCAATTTATAAAGTGTTTTAAATGGATTTTTTCAAAAAAATAAAAATTAAAAAAATTTAAATAGTTGTGGAATAGTTTACAGAAATTATTTACAAAAATTAAATATCTTGGGACCATTACATTTGGGTTTGTGTTATGTTCCATTAAAGGTTATACGGTGCCGAATTTATAAGATGCTTGAGCATTACAGTAATTTGAGAATAACCACAACATCTTAAATTATTGTTATGTGTATAAACTTAGAAAATTATTATATTAGATGGCATCTTATTACTTGCATTTAAATTAGTAAAATTAATTATTTTACCCACAGGGAGATAACTGTTTTATTAATTCATTTGGAATAAGCTAGTAAGTTAAATATCAAAATAGAAATTTTTTATGTCCACAGATAATGGATTTTTTTAATTTTTTGTGAGAGATATTTACGAGTCTTATTGATAAAGTTAAGTAAATTCGATGCAAGTTGCAATCTTTACCCACAAGGAGATTAGAATTTACTTTATTTTTATTTTTTGATAGCATGATTTGTTCTTAGTTGTTGCAGTTATTCCTACTACATTATTGAGTTCTGAATCATCTCACATTCCATTTTTGAGAGGTGAAAATTTTTCTAACTGGAAAGATAAGATTCTTTTGACTTTGGGGTGCATGGACCTTGATTTGGCGCTTCGTGTGGACGAACCACCTATTCCCACGGAATCAAGTACACTAACTGAGAGGGCTTCTTATGAGCGGTGGGAGCGATCTAATCGCTTAAGTTTAATGCTCATCAAATCCCATATCAGTAAGGGCATTAGGGGTTCAATCCCTGACTGCAACAAGGTTAAGGTCTTCATGAAGGCTATTGAAAAGCAATTTGTGACATTTGATAAGGCATTAGCCAACACCCTAATGAAGAAACTCTTAGGCATGAGGCTTAAAGGTTCTAAAGGTGTGCGTGAACACATTATAGAAATGCAGGACATTGTAGCTCAACTTAAAACATTGGAGATAGAGATTTTTGAGTCATTCTTAGTACATTTTATCCTCAACTCTCTTCCTATGGAATATAGTGCTTTCAAAATTTCTTATAACACATAGAAGGAGAAATGGTCAGTATA